CCAGCGGTCAAGGATGAGTTGATCAGCGAGGTGAGGTAGGGGAGAAGGTCACCGGAGATGGTCTGGAGAAGAGAGGAGGGGATAGGGTCAAGCGGGCAGGTTGTTGGGCGGCCTGCCGTCACAAGTCGCAAGATTTTATCTGGAGAGAGAGGGGAGAAAGAAGTCAAAGCATATGGTAGGGCAGTGTGAGCAGGACCAGCAGTGTCATTTGACTTAACAAACGAGGATCGGATGTCGTCAACCTTCTTTTCAAAGTGGTTGATGAAGTCATCCACAGAGAGGGAGGAGGGGGGGGGGGGGATTCAGCAGGGAGGAGAATGTGGCAAAGAGCTTCCTAGGGTTAGAGGCAGATGCTTGGAATTTAGAGTGGTAGAAAGTGGCCTTAGCAGCAGAAACAGATGAAGAAAATTTTGAGAGGAGGGAGTGAAAAGATGCCAGGTCCGCAGGGAGTCTAGTTTTCTTCAATTTCCGCTCAGCTGCCCGGAGCTCTGTTCTGTGAGCTCGCAATGAGTCATCAAGCCACGGAGCTGGAGGGGAGGACCGAGCCGGCCGGGAGGATAGGGGACATAGAGAGTCAAAGGATGCAGAAAGGGAGGAGAGGACGGTTGAGGAGGCAGAATCAGGAGATTGGAGGGAGAAGGATTGAGCAGAGGGAAGAGATGATAGGATGGAAGAGGAGAGAGTAGCGGGAGAGAGAGAGCGAAGGTTGTGACGGCGCATTACCATCTGTGTAGGGGCAGAGTGAGTAGTGTTGGAGGAGAGCGAGAGAGAAAAGGATACAAAGTAGTGGTCGGAGACATGGAGGGGAGTTGCAGTGAGATTAGTAGAAGAACAGCATCTAGTAAAGATGAGGTCAAGCGTATTGCCTGCCTTGTGAGTAGGGGGGGACGGTGAGAGGGTGAGGTCAAAAGAGGAGAGGAGTGGAAAGAAGGAGGCAGAGAGAAATGAGTCAAATGTAGACGTAGGGAGGTTGAAGTCCCCCAGAACTGTGAGGGATGAGCCATCCTCAGGAAAGGAACTTATCAAGGCGTCAAGCTCATTGATGAACTCTCCAAGGGAACCTGGAGGGCGATAGATGACAAGGATATTAAGCTTAAATGGGCTAGTGACTGTGACAGCATGGAATTCAAATGAGGAGATAGACAGATGGGTTAGGGGAAAAATTGAGAATGTCCACTTGGGAGAGATGAGGATTCCTGTGCCACCACCCCGCTGACCAGATGCTCTTGGGGTATGCGAGAACACATGGTCAGACGAGGAGAGAGCAGTAGGAGTAGCAGTGTTTTCAGTGGTAATCCATGTTTCCGTCAGCGCCAAGAAGTCGAGGGACTGGAGGGTAGCATAGGCTGGGATGAACTCTGCCTTGTTGGCAGCAGAACGGCAGTTCCAGAGGCTGCCTGAGACCTGGAACTCCAGGTGGGTGGTGCGTGCAGGGACCACCAGGTTAGAGAGGCAGCAGCCACGCGGTGTGAGGCGTTTGTGTAGCCTGTGCGGAGAGGAGAGAACAGGGATAGGCAGAGGCATAGTTGACAGGCTGCAGCAAATGGCTACAATAATGCAGAGGAGATCAGAATGAAATGAACTAAACATCTGGGAAAGGAGAGAGCGGGGCCTCCCTCACCACAACTCCCAAATATAACTCTCCCAACTTCCACCTCAGAAACTATAATTGTTGTAAACTACAGCGGTTCAATGTTTTCTAGGAATAGACTAACTCAGTTTATTCAGCTAGCTAACTAGGTGCAGTATTATTCCGTGAAAATCGTCCGGGCACCAAGTCATAAGACGCCACAGCCAGCTAGCATGCCGGACTCCAACAACACGGTTTAGCGCCAATACTCGGCCACAACAAACCACCAGTGTATCAACACGCAAGCAGATCGTTCGTGTCCGTGTCTAACGTTGTGGGTTAGTCCCGACAGCTTGAGCGAGTCCGTCGTCAACTTATTCAGCCAGTTAGTTAGCTAGAATAGTTAGCAAACTAGCTAGCCATTGCTTTCAGACAAAGAAGAACCCCTTCTTTCATGGCACGAACACACAGAGAGAGCCAAACTAACGTTAACTAGTCACCCATGTCCCGAATTCCTTGAACGACTCGGGCTATCAATATGTAAAAAACAAAACACAAATGTAGGTTATGACTTACCCCTAGCAGCTACTGTTAGCTAGCCAAGTGCAAAGCTAGCCACTGAATTGACTCAGCCAGTTCGCGTCTGTTCGCTCGGTCGTTCCAGCTATTGTTTACTAGTAGCTATCCAGGTAGCAACAAGCTAGCTAATATTTCAAGCACAGTAGCCACTTGCTACCTAACGTTAACGGTTCAGACAATGAGGTTAGAAAACAGCTGAATGGTAGGCAATTATTGTATGTAATTATTGTAGGCAGCCAGCTGGCGTAATTACAGGCACTCTCAGGCGTGAAATAACTATACCGTTGCTAATAGCTACTCGCCAGCTAGTCCAGGTGGTGGGTTAGCTAGCTAGCTTCGTGCTACGCCGGGCACAGCCGAATACAATACTAACCTACAATAATTACATACAACAACCCACAATAACTACCTACAATACCTAACTACAATCTAAATACATAGTTTAAGCCTTACTCGACAAAGCCCAAGCTATGTATAAAGCCAAGCTTACCCGATGCCAAACTTAGCCCTCTATAGCCATCTATAGCCCTCTATAGCACTCTATAGTCTTATATAGCCCTCTATAGCCATCTATAGCCCTCTATATCCATTTATAGCCCTCTATGACACTCTAAAGTCTTATATAGCCCTCTATAGCCATCTATAGCACTCTATAGGCTTCTATAGTCCTCTATTGTCCTCTATAGCCATCTATAGCAATATATAGCCCTCTATAGCACTCTATAGGCCTCTATAGTCCTCTATAGTCTTATATAGCCCTCTATAGCCATCCATAGCACTCTATAGGCTTCTATAGTCCTCTATAGTCCTCTATAGCCATCTATAGCCCTCTATAGCACTCTATAGTCTTATATAGCCCTCTATAGCCATCTATAGCACTCTATAGGCTTCTATAGTCTTATATAGCCCTCTATAGCCATCTATAACACTCTATAGGTTTCTATAGTTCTCTATAGCCATCTATAGCCATCTATAGCACTCTATAGGCCTCTATAGTCCTCTATAGCCATCTATAGCACTCTATAGGCCTCTATAGCACTCTATAGGCTTCTATAGTCCTATATAGTCCTCTATAGCCATCTATAGCCCTCTATAGCCATATATAGCCCTCTATAGTCCTCTATAGCCCTCTATAGCCATCTATAGCACTATAGGCCTCTATAGTCCTCTATAGTCCTCTATAGCCTTCTATAGCCATCTATAGCACTCTATAGGCCTCTATAGTCCTCTATAGCCATATATAGCCCTCTATAGCCATCTATAGCCATCTATAGCCATCTATAGCCATCTATAGCCATATATAGCCCTCTATAGTCCTCTATAGCCATCTATAGACCTCTATAGCCATCTATAGCACTATAGGCCTCTATAGTCCTCTATAGTCCTCTATAGCCATCTCTAGCCCTCTATAGCACTCTATAGCCCTCTATAGGCCTCTATAGTCCTCTATAGTCCTCTATAGCCCTCTATAGCCCTCTATAGCATACTATACATTGAACGTTCAAGTCAAACACCTGATTCCCTTTTTTGTTTAAGTTGGTGTTACGTTCCCAATAAGAAACCAAAAATCGTTGCTCAACAGAAAAAGGGAACTAACAAATGAGCCACTGACAACCAAAACGAAACAGTAAAGGTTTTAAAATGGTCATGAAAGGCATCCGCAGGGGTGTCTCCTGAGCAAACTCAAGTAGGGTCTTAGCCATTGATATATATAAACCCTGGATTACTGATGCTATGTGTTGGCCATTGAGAGGCTTTGAAGCCCCCAGTCGGCCATATTGGCACTCATTAGTAGGAGCAGTCCTTCATAGGAATGAATGGAATTCTACAGTATTTTCTTTTAAATGTTTCAAGGACAACATTACATGTATTTAAATATTTTGTTGTTGTAGTGGGGACAGTAACATTAGTTCAAAAAATATATACTTGTTTTAATATATTATTTGTATTTTTTCATGTTTAGCGCACATTATATAATTTCAAAGTATGCATTAAGGTGTCTGTAATAGAATAAACGTGTAAAAAACGAATGTAGACATTAATAAATGCATTTCTAAAGCTTCCAAAATATTTTACAATTGAGGAGCAATGCCAAGATGGCTGCCCTGTGGCTTCAATACAGCGCCTCCTGTCCGTCATCCAGGGTTTATACACATCGTGGTCTTAACAAACACCCACCTGACGCCCACTAGATTTGCCTAATACAGACAAACTAAAGGAAGAGAAAACTCACACCAACTTAGGTTAGGGAGTAAAAAAGTAATGTGGAACAAACAAAACAGGGGAGACACAAGATAAAAGGCTTTAACAGCTTAAAGAGGAGCTAAACAGTTGTGTAGCTGTGCTGAAGCGCGTTTGGGTACACTTTCTTCCCCTTCATATATTCAAGTGGTTAATGGAACACACACACCATTCCATATTCTCAGTAACTCAAACAACCAACTTGGCAATCCAAGTTTTTAGTCAACATGACAGGATCATGCTGAATCATCCTTGATGATTTCTTGAATCACATTGGTTGTGATCATTCATCCACAATAAAAGTGTTGATGTAGCAAGCCTTTTGATGTAGCCATCCTTTTAAGCGTCTATTTGAGGTTGGTGGTGTGGGAATGTCCAGCACACGAGGTTGATGAGGGGAGGACAGCTCATAATAATGCCTGGAATGGAGTAAATGGAATGGCATCAAACACCTGGAAACCATGTGTTTGATGTATTTGATACCATTCCACTGATTCCGCTCCACCTATTACCACGAACTCGTCCTCCCCAATTAAGGTACCACCAACCTCCTGTGATGTACAGTTAAAGCCAAACGGCCTGTTGTGATAGAATTGCTGTCATCATCCTTGCGCATCAAGAAGAGGGTATTAACCAATCTAAGAAGTGATGTCTGGTCAATAAAAACAAGGCAAACCCAAAACCACACTGAACAGAGGAGGAAACGGTCAAAGAGGGGAGATAAGAGCAACATGTCTGGGGCCCATCACACTCTCATTCAACTGCTGATCCTAAAGCTTATCAATGCAGGTAAGAGAACACCTACTGTAGGATAAAACAACAGCCATGCTCATTAACCATTCATGCTGTGTGTAGGTTTGCTAACAAGTGGCTAGAGACTGATCTACATAGTATGTATCACTTATAATGGATCCTTGATGAAATTATTTGAGTAAGAATTTTAGTGTGTTACATGGATACATTTTATTTTACTCTCTAGGAGCGCATGGAAATGAATTATCTCAATACGTCAAAGAGGGGTTTGATGCCAAAATGCTGTGTAACAATGTGGTTAATTCAAACTGCTCCTTAACAACATGGCATCACTACATGGTTAGTTTTCCAAACACTATTCAAGAGGTTTCTGAAGGGAAGGTGAGCGTTAACTCAAAGAGAGCAGGCAGACTGAGTGTGGACGCTGGCTGTTCTCTACATGTTCACGATGTCACAGCTGAGGATGCTGGACGCTACACATGTATAGATTCAAAACAACAAAACCAATTTCACATGGCTACTGATCTGTCTGTTCTGACCAGTGAGTATTTATGTTTACAGTATGGTCAAAGATGAAAAGTTGTCTTAGTAAAACATATACAATACAGTATTATAGTATTACAGTATTATAGTATTAGTATTATAGTATAAGTATTATAGTATTCAAAATATTGTATTAGTATCATAGTATTACAGTATTATAGTATTAGTATTATAGTATTAGTATATTAGTATTATAGGATTAGTATTATAGTATTACAGTATTATAGCATTAGTATTATAGTATTCGTATTATAGTATTAGTATTATATTATTACAGTATTATATTATTAGTATTATAGTATTAGTATTATAGTATTATAGTATTATAGTATTATAGTATTATAGTATTATAGTATTATAGTATTACAGTATTATGGTATTACAGTATTATAATATTAGTATTGTAGTATTCGTATTATACAGTGGGGAAAAAAAGTATTTAGTCAGCCACCAATTGTGCAAGTTCTCCCACTTTAAAAGATGAGAGAGGCCTGTAATTTTCATCATAGGTACATGTCAACTATGACAGACAAATTGAGGAAAACAAATCCAGAAAATCACATTGTAGGATTTTTAATGAATTTATTTGCAAATGATGGTGGAAAATAAGTATTTGGTCACCTACAAACAAGCAAGATTTCTGGCTCTCACAGACCTGTAACTTCTTTTTTAAGAGGCTCCTCTGTCCTCCAATCGTTACCTGTATTAATGGCACCTGTTTGAACTTGTTATCAGTATAAAAGACACCTGTCCACAACCTCAAACAGTCACACTCCAAACTCCACTATGGCCAAGACGAAAGAGCTGTCAAAGGACACCAGAAACAAAATTGTAGACCTGCACCAGGCTGGGAAGACTGAATCTGCAATAGGTAAGCAGCTTGGTTTGAAGAAATCAACTGTGGGAGCAATTATTAGGAAATGGAAGACATACAAGACCACTGATAATCTCCCTCGATCTGGGGCTCCAAGCAAGATCTCACCCCGTGGGGTCAAAATGATCACAAGAACGGTGAGCAAAAATCCCAGAACCACACGGGGGGACCTAGTGAATGACCTGCAGAGAGCTGGGACCAAAGTAACAAAGCCTACCATCAGTAACACACTACGCCGCCAGGGACACAAATCATGCAGTGCCAGACGTGTTCCCCTGCTTAAGCCAGTACATGTCCAGGCCCGTCTGAAGTTTGCTAGAGTGCATTTGGATGATCCAAAAGAGGATTGGGAGAATGTCATATGGTCAGATGAAACCAAAATATAACTTTTTGGAAAAAACTCAACTCGTCGTGTTTGGAGGACAAAGAATGCTGAGTTGCATCCAAAGAACACCATACCTACTGTGAAGCATGGGGGTGGAAACATCATGCTTTTGGACTGTTTTTCTGCAAAGGGACCAGGACGACTGATCCGTGTAAAGGAAAGAATGAATGGGGCCATGTATCGTGAGATTTTGAGTGAAAACCTCCTTCCATCAGCAAGGGCATTGAAGATGAAATGTGGCTGGGTCTTTCAGCATGACAATGATCCCAAACACACCGCGCGGGCAACGAAGGAGTGGCTTCGTAAGAAGCATTTCAAGGTCCTGGAGTGGCCTAGCCAGTCTCCAGATCTCAACCCCATAGAAAATCATTGGAGGGAGTTGAAAGTCTGTGTTGCCCAGCGACAGCCCCAAAACATCACTGCTCTAGAGGAGATCTGCATGGAGGAATGGGCCATAATACCAGCAACAGTGTGTGAAAACCTTGTGAAGACTTACAGAAAACGTTTGACCTGTGTCATTGCCAACAAAGGGTATATAACAAAGTATTGAGAAACTTTCGTTATTGACCAAATACTTATTTTCCACCATAATTTGCAAATAAATTCATAAAAAATCCTACAATGTGATTTTCTGGATTTTTTTTCCTAATTTTGTCTGTCATAGTTGACGTGTACCTATGATGAAAATTACAGGCCTCTCTCATCTTTTTAAGTGGGAGAACTTGCAGAATTGGTGGCTGACTAAATACTTTTTTTCCCCACTGTAGTATTAGTATTATAGTATTAGTATTATAGTATTTGTATTATAGTATTACATAATTATTGTATTAGTATTATAGTATTAGTATTATAGTATTTCAGTATTATAGTATTAGAATTATAGTATTACAGTATTATAGTATTACTCTATACATGCACAGTATGCAGTGAGTGACATACCACAAAACTCTATTCCTTGAAGAGAAACCATGGTAAAATTAAATGTTCTCTTATGTCTCTTGCAGTCTTCGTGTCCACAGCAGTGACAGATCTAAAGCCTGATAGACCAGTAACATTAAGATGCTCTCTGTACACCACCGAAGGACATGGAAACTGTATGTCATCCCAAAATGATAAAGTTAGTCTGAGCTGGGTGGATGAGACGGGTACGAAGCTGCAGGGCTCCGGATGCCAGCTCACAGGGCCTTGCTGTGATAGCACTCTGACTGTGACACTCCAGAAGGAGGACAACAACAGGAAGTGGACGTGTCAGCTGACTAAAGATGGAAAAGTTAACATCTCCATTGACTTCACCTCCACATTCTCAGGTATGTATTCTTGTTATGCTCCAATAATCTGAATAACTTCATCAGATGTAATGACATTAAAGTGAATATCGAATCTGATCCTTTCTCTTGATATCAGTGATGAGTGAACAAACATACTGCTCTCTACTGTGTGTGTCTGATGATGAAGAGTTATTTAAAAGAGGATGTTCTTCTCCTGAACTAGATATTAAAGACACGGATGATGAAAAAGAGAGAAATGACAGTAAGAAACCATCTACACTGTAAAATCAGATAAGTTCTGGCTGTTCAAACATTTCAGTAACAGGTGCAAAAATTCAATGATTGGATTAGTTTCGGGGTGTTTTTTAAAATCTTTGTGTAGCATAACATTTTAATCAATCAATCACTCAATGTACATGCAAAACACAGATATTACAAAGAATTTCAGAAAATCTGCCTGCAGTAGAGCATGCTGGGAAAAAGTTAATTTGTTATCATATCTTTTAAAAAATTAGTTGGTGTGACTTCTCATTTATTTCCTTGTCAGTACCACACAAACATTCTAAGTATTAATGACTTTTCATTGACTTTGAGTACAACTTACTGGAAGTATTTTAGTTTAAAATGTCTTGGGATTTACAGTGTACTAAGTAAAATTGAAACCCTGTTTACCAAGGCAACACTTTTAGTACTGTACCTCATTGTGCTTCATCTATGGACAGTTTCACTAACCTCTTTGTTATGAGCCAGGCTGATCTCAAGTGACACAAGTCTCTGTCTTCCTCCATCAGGTCTTAAACAGTCGGTGCTGATCTGGGTGGTAGTGGGGGTGGGGGTGGCTGGGTGTGTGGCTGGGTGTGTGGCAGCTCTGGTTGTCACCTTCAGAAGGAGGGCGTGTAAGTCAACTCTCTTATTTACCCTCCTGAAGTCAGGTTATATTCTATCTGAACTGAACTCATTTCCTTCATACAGTAGATATTTAGAATGTTGTTTAGTAAAGAAAAACTTTATTTTTGGTGCGAAATGTGTATTTTATTAATGATTTGTGATCATTCATTCTCAGATTCAGTTTCAAGAAATCAGATTCCAGTCAACCCAGGAAATGTGGTGCAAGCAAACAACAGTGATGTAAGTAAATGGGTTGTCAACAAAATAATTAACTTTGATTGTTATTGGGAATATCATGTGTGTGTGTGTGTGTGTGTGTGTGTGTGTGTGTGTGTGTGTGTGTGTGTAGGGCCAGAGAGCAGACATGACCTATGCTGACGTCAACCTTCCCACTAGTAGGAGGATGGTGGAGAGAGACCAACAGACAGAGTATGCAACCATCAGAACAGGACCCTGAATCATAAACTGTTCCGTATTAAGGCTATAAATAAGTGGTATTCAAATCCTACCCTGCAGGTCCGGAGTACTGTTGGTTTTCTGTTCTACCTGATAACTAATTGCACTCACCTGGTGTCCTAGGTCAAAATGAAAAAATTAACAATGGAATTAGCTTCAAGGTCCAGATTTGAATTTGAGGGGGCTATGAAGTAAAGATGTAAGAGCTTGAAGGTTCACTTGAAATAAACTTTCTGAGTTAAGCTATACCAAAAAGTCCAGTTCTTCCAACATTTACATTACCTTTACATTTTTGTCATTTAGCAGACTTACAGTAAGTGCATTCATCTTAAGATACTGTAGCTAGGTGGGAAAACCACATAGCACAGTCATAGTAAGTACATTTTTATAAAGTAGCTATCAGCGGGATGGTGTGCTGTGGAATTATTTAATTAACATACTCTTTGAAGAGGTGGGGTTCCAGATGTTTTCGGAAGGTGGGCAGGGACTCTGCTGTCCTAGCTTCAGGGAGAAGCTGGTTCCACCATTGGGGTGCCAGTAAAGAGAAGAGCTTGGACTGTGCTGAGCGGGAGCTGCCCTTCCGTTGGGGTGGGAGGGCCAAGAGACCAGAGGTGGCAGAAAGGAGCACTCGGGTTTCAAGTTTCAAGTTTTAATGTCACATGCACAAGTACAGTAAAATGCCTTTCATGCCAGCTCCAACCCCAACAATGCAGTAGTGATCAATAACAATCTAATACTAAACATAACAAGGTAGAACAAAACCCATGAGATATAAAAATAAGAATAACAATTAAAATATTAACAACACAATAAAGTAAGTAAGCATTCTATATAGAGGGTCAGTTCCAGTACCATATTCACAATATGCAGGGGTCCTGGAGTGATAGAGGTAGATATGTATAGTGGAATGTTGACTAGGCATCAGGATATATGATTAACAGAGTAGCAGCAGCATATACTGTATGTTTGTATGCGAGTGGGTGTGTGTAGAGTCAGTATAAATATACTGTATGTGCAAATTATGTGTGTGTGAGCAAATGACGAAGTGAGTGTTTGTGTGTGTGTTGGAGTGCCAGTGTGTGTAGTGTGTAGGGTCCTGTGAGTGTGCATAGAGACAGTGCAAAATAAGAATAAAATACAAAGGTCAGTAGCCATTTTGTTATTAATTTAGTTAACTATTTAGCAGTCTTATGGCATAGGGATAGAAGCTGTTCAGGAGCCTGTTGGTGTCAGACTTGATGCATTGGTACCGCTTGCCATGCGGAAGCAGAGAGAACAGTCTATGGCTTAGGTGGTTGGAGTCTTTATCGATTTTCCGGGCCTTCTTTTCACACCGCCTGATATACAGTAGAGGTCCTGGATGGCAGGTAGCTTGGCCCCAGTGATGTACTGGGCTGTCCGCACCACCCTCTGTAGCGCCATGCGTAGCAGCCACCGAACTGCTCCCGGACTCACCTATTGCTGTTCACTGGACCTTATGATCACTCAGCTACACAGCTGATGCCTGCTGGACTGTTCCTCTATACGGTACCCCATCCTGTTTATCTGTTTAGCCTCAGCCCAAACTTTCGTTGCCATTACCAGCTGTTGTCTTAGCTCTATCGAATAACACCTGTGATTGCTTTATGCCTCTCTCCCATGTCAATATGCCTTGCCTATTGCTGTTTCGGTTAGTTCTTACTGTACTATTTCACTGTAGAGCCCCCAGTCCCGCTCAACCTGCCTCAGATAGCTCCTTTGTCCCACCCCCATACACGCGGAGACCGGCTCAGTCGGTGCCTCCAGTGATGCTATCTCTTTCATCGTTACCCAACGCTTAGGTTTACCTCCACTGTACTCATATCCTTCCATATCCTTGTCTGTACATAATGTCCTGAATCTATTCTACAACGCCCGGAAATCTGCCCCTTTTATTCTCTGTACCCAACGCACTAGAAGACCAGTTCTTAAAGCCTTTAGCCGTATCCTTATTCTATTCCTCCTCTGTTCCTCTGGTGATGTAGAGGTTAACCCAGGCCCTGTAGCCCCAAGTATCACTCCTACTCCCCAGACGCTATCATTTGTTGACTTCTGTAACCGTAAAAGCCTTGGTTTCTTGCACATTAACATCAGAAGCCTCCTCCCTAAGTTTGAGTTATTCACTGCGTTAGCACACTCCGCCAACCCTGATGTTCTAGCAGTGTCTGAATCCTGGCTTAGGAAGGCCACCAAAAATTCAGAAATGTCCATCCCCAACTACAACATTTTCCGTCTAGATAGAACTGCCAAAGGGGGCGGAGTTGCAATCTACTATAGCAATAGCCTGCAGAGCACTATCATACTATCCAGGTCTGTGCCCAAACAGTTTGAGCTTCTACTTCTAAAAATCCACCTTTCCAGAAATAAGTCTCTCACTGTTGCCGCATGCTACAGACCCCCCTCAGCCCCCAGCTGTGCCCTGTACACCATATGTGAATTGATTGACCCCCATCTATCCTCAGAGTTTGTACTGCTTGGTGACCTAAACTGGGATATGCTTAACACCCCGGCCGTCCTACAATCTAAACTAGATGCCCTCAATCTCACACAAATTATCAAGGAACCTACCAGGTACAACCCTAAATCCGTAAACATGGGCACCCTCATAGATATCATCCTGACTAATTTACACTCTAAATACACCTCCGCTGTCTTCAACCAGGATCTCAGCGATCACTGGCTCATTGCTTGCGTCCATAATGGGTCTGCGGTCAAACAACCACCCCTCATCACCGTCAAATGCTCCCTAAAACACTTCAGCGAGCAGGCCTTTCTAATTGACCTGGCCCGGGTATCCTGGATGGATATTGACCTCATTCCGTCAGGAGAGGATGCCTGGTTGTTCTTTAAAAGTGCTTTCCTCTCAATCTTAAATAAGCATGCCCCATTCAAAAAATGCAGAACTAAGAACAGATATAGCCCCTGGTTCTCCTCAGACTTGACTGCCCTTGACCAGCACAAAAACATCCTGTGGCATACTGCATTAGCATCGAACAAGTCAAATACTTATTTCCCTCATTAAAATGCAAATCAATTTATAACATTTTTTACATGCGTTTTCCTCGATTTTTTTGTTGTTATTCTGTCTCTCACTGTTCAAATAAACCTACCATTAAAATGATAGACTGATCATGTCTTTGTCAGTGGGCAAACGTACAAAATCAGCAGGGGATCAAATACTTTTTTCCCTCACTGTATATCTCACTGGTCATCTCCAAAGCCAACAACTCCTTTGGCCGCCATTCCTTCCAGTTCTCTGCTGCCAATAACTGGAACGAACTGCAAAAATCTCTGAAGCTGGAGACTCTTATCTCCCTCACTAACTTTAAGCATCAGTTGTCAGAGCAGCTTACCGATCACTGCACCTGTACACAGCCCATCTGTAATTAGCCCACCCAACTACCTCATCCCCATATTGTTATTTATTTTGCTCATTTGCACCACAGAATCTCTATTTGCACATCATCTTCTGCACATCTATCACTCCAGTGTTAATACTAAATTGTAATGATTTTGTACTATGGCCTATTTATTGCCTTACCTCCATAACTTACTACATTTGCACACACTCTATATAGATTTTATATTTTTCTATTGTGTTATTGACTGTACGTTTTTCTTTATCCCATATGTAACAACTGTGTTGTTGTTTTTATCGCACTGCTTTGCTTTGTCTTGGCCAAGTCACAGTTGTAAATGAGAACTTGTTCTCAACTGGCCTACCTGGTTAAATAAAAAATAAAAAATAAATAACAATCTCTGATTCTGGAGACCATTTCTCAATGGAGCGAGTCACGGGTAATTCCTGTTTGAGCTTCTGCTTGTAAACAAGAAGCAGCAGTACGGAGTCATGATCTGATTTGCCAAATGGCGGACGAGGGAGGGCCTTTTATGCTTGCTTGTTGGTAGAATAACAGTTGTCCAGGACTTTATCGCCCCTATTGGTGAGGGAGACGTGTTGATGGATGTTGGGCTTCACGTGTTTTAATGACGCAGAATTAAAATTGCCGGCAACCAGAAAAGCAGCCTCTGGATGTAAGTTTTCCTGCTTGCTTATAGCATTGTACAGTTCGTTAAGTGTCAGCTTGTTATTTTTCTTGTCCTGAGTCACAATAACAGCTGAAACTCCCTCGGGAGGTAAAAGGGTAGGCATTTGACCATCAGGCATTCAAAGATGGGTGAACAATGGGTTGACACATCCAGCACGCTTGTGTCAGCACACCAGTTGTTGTTGATGAAGAGGCAAACCCCTCGTCACCTCGATTTCCCTGACTCCACTGTCCTGTCGCCACAGTGAATGGAGCATCCATAGAGTTGAATAGCCATGAGGGGTATCTTGTCCGAGAGCCATGTTTCAGAAAATCATAGAATATTGCAGTTTCGAGAATCCCGTTGGTAGCAAATCCATGATCGAAGGTCATCCATCTTATTATAAAGTGATAATGGAGGGAAGAGGTGGCCGGTTTTCCCTTCGCCTTAATCTCTCCAGGATCCTCCCTCTCTTGCTTCTGCAACATCGGCGTTTCCTCTTGGTTAGCCCCAAAATTGGGTTTGGAAATACAGAAAGAGCCCAGGACAGATGAGTCAAAGTTGAAGGCGGAATTGAGGTAAGTAACTGCCGATCTGATGGGCATCTTGATGGGTTGGGGTGTAGCAGAGCCTGACGGTAGGGAGGTGCAGTTCCCCTTGCTGCTCTGTAGGCAAGTACCATGGTCTTGTATTGGATGCAAGTTTCGCCTAGAATTCAGTGGAATGTGCAGAGGAGCGGGGTGGCACGGGAGAATTTGGGAAGGTTGAACACCAGGCGGTCTGCAGCGTTCTGGATAAATTGCAGGGGTTTGATGGCACAAGCGGGGAGCCCAGCCAACAGCGAGTTCGGTAGTCCAGACAGAGCAGGCAGGCCTTGGAGAGGCCTTCCCCTGGAGGAAGAGCAGCTGTCTTGTCGAGGTTGAACTTGAGGTTTTGGGCCAACATCCAAGCTGA